CCGGCCACGGCGTAGCCACCTCACGTCTCCACCTAGGACTTGGGACGCCGACATGACCAATCTGGCTCCTTCAGATCTTGGCGGCGGCAAAGACGGGAGGCCCCTGCCTTCCTTCCCAAAACGCCCCTGCCACCTCCAGCCACCCAATGACACACCGATCGTTGAGCCGCAACCACTATCCATCCGGATTTGCCTCCAGCCACAACACTCGGATCGCAAAAGCAGAGGAGGGAGAGGTCCAACATCGCTGTTGACCTGTTGTGCCTTCACCTCCACGAGCAGAATACCGCGACAGAGGTGGACGCCCGCAACCAACGCCGCCCTCTGCCCGCACCACGCGGGAGCCAGATCTGGTCAAGCCGATGGCACAACAGTCACGACCGCCATCATTGACCACCGCTCGAGCTCCCCCACCTCACCGCCTGCCATACGACTGCCATGACACCGTCGTCAAGCATGCCCGTGTGTCGCCGTGCTGCAACGCCCGATGCCCAGCACAACATCCAAGGCGCAGTCACCTCGGCACGCGCCAAGGACCCCGCACGAGGAGACGAAGACTCCCTGCCGACGCCGACATGGCCGGTCGCGCCCTCTAACGGCGGCGAGGGAGGGGGGGAGGGGGGAGCCCCGTCAGCGAAGCTAGGGTTGGCCTCATGGACACCCGCAATAGCGCCGCAGGACGTGGGGGCAAAAAAAGTGTTTATACACCCCGAAAAAAAAATGTATACGATTTTACATTGCCTAAACTTCTTTGTTTCACACGGTTACGGCAGGGGACACCTATATGCCAGCCAATTGGCACAGGCACGCCTACATTATCCGGGACTCCGCTCGCCTGTTTGAAAACCAAATCAGAATCACGTCCAAATTCATACACAATGAAACGTACTCCAATATCACCAAGGTCAAATAAATACGGAGTACCTGCAAGAGATAAGGGCTGACAGCTCTCACCATAAGACGAGTCCATTATCACCAACAGACCGACAGCGCGTATCAGCTGTCCCTTGTCTCTTGCAACCATGCCTCGTCCTCCTCCTGCAGCATCATGGCTGCAGATTTGTGCACGGATCCTCGTTCCTCTTCTGGTGACAATGGTGTTTATGGGGCTCGTCATAGGGTTCGCGGCTGCGTCGTCGCTGCAGACGACGGCAGGGGTGGCGACTGATGATCACCGTCACCAGGGCCACACTGTGTCCGTTACTGCGGTAGCGATGTTACTGCGGTAGCGATGGGCGTGAACGTGCCAGGACGGACGTCGGAGATTGCGTCCGGCCACGGAGGCGCAGATCGGTGGCCGCGGAAGACGGGCGGCGTTGTCCTTAAGTCGCGGCGGCCGTTGCCGCCGTCCGGCCCGAGCGACGGGATACACCCTTAGCGCCGCTAGGATCGATGTACGTCCACGACGACAGGCAGATGCGTGCGAAGGTGACCATGAGCATGGTTATGTATATAGCCTACACGTTCCATCAATGGATCGTTCTTCTCGCTAATTATTATAGCTTAAGACGTGGTGTTCGTCTCTTGTCTCGTGACTACGTTGATTGTACATATCAAGGTACCAGCTTGCACGTATAGAATGAAAATTTCAGTGTTTACGTTTTTCATACAACGGTTCTATGTTGACCATGGCTATGGTGCTACATCAACTATGTTAGTATTGATATGTAGTTTCAAGTGAATGAGATTTGAGATCCATGCAAATTTTTCAGATTTTTTTACATGTTATCTCATTTAATTGAGACTTGGTTAAGTCTCGGCCAACCGAGACCTATCTATACCTAACCCCATAAAAAAAACTGATTAGCAAAAGAAAAACGATCCCCACCGACCGACCAGCCAGGCGCTCGCGCCAGGCGCACGTCAACCGTCTGATCGAGTTAGATCCAGTGCCCACATGTTCTTTCTGGGCACACACTTTACTTAGCCCTCTTCTCCTTCACTTGTTTTCTCAATGCGTTGATCCCACCTTATCTCCCTCACCATCGCTCATCCTGCGCAGGGCGTCAATTTCTTGGCCATGCTCTACCCCGCCGGCCTCCTCGTCATCTACCCCCCTCCCCACGGAGATGCCATGAGCCCGTCCGCGCCACCCCCGCGACGCGCACAATGAGCTACACTTGATGGGGCCATGGGCCACGTGATCTGTGAAGGCGGTTTCCATGGGATGCAACAACCAATGCCACCCGTTGTTGGGTGCTACAACCAACATGTGCCGGAGATGGAGACGACATACACAAGTGGTACAACCGGTGACCGACAATGTTGGAGCGAGGTGCTATTGGCACAGTGGCTAGTCGAGTGTGTTGCAACCGACAACTGGGAAAGCTACAACTCGTGACAAAAAAAGCTTCAGCCGAAGGGGCGATGGAAGATGGAGGCGGCCATCGCGCATCTGTGGAAGCTGCAGCCGATGCTTGAGAAAGCCACAACCAATGATGACGAAAGCTGCGACGAGCCACTATGCAACTCGCGAAAGTTGCAGATGGTGATGGAAAAAAATTCTGCCAACGACAAAAAAAGGATCCATCAAGACGACACAAGCTGATGACGGTGAAAGCTGCAACCGGTGATGGCGAAAGTTGTAACCGGCCATGGCAAAAGAAGTGTCCATGTTTTTTAGTGGTAAATCAAAACTTTATTGCGAAATAGCAGCTCGGTTTACAGGAATAACAAACTGATCATTGGGTAAACCCAGCCATAAATGACGAGTAGAAAATTTAGCTAAATTGTGTGCATCAACATTTATAGTATGACTTTCAAAAATGAAATCATAGCTTGTGAGTTATGTGCCCGAGCGATTGCACTATACCTTCCTTCAGTTTCATTCTTTATCTCCGCCACCACTGATTTATTATCAGACGCAATAACAACTTTGTCGAGGGACAAGTCAAGCGCAAGCGCTAGAGCTTCACGGCAAGCGAGTGCCTCCAATGTTGTCGGGTCTAAAATGTCGGTAAATACCATAGCTGATGAACCCAAGAAGAGGACTGTGTGATCACGGCAAACTGTAGCGGATGCGCCACTATTACCATTTCTTGCAAGACCTTCGTCAACTTGTATCTTCGCCACCCCGGGGCTCCGCACTGTCCATTTTGTTGTACTTCTCACCTGCATCCCACCAGTAGCTGGATGCGTTGCTTTACAGGGCTCAGTGTCCATGTGTAACAAGGTTTTGTTTGGGGTTGTTCCTTTTTTTTTGGCAAAGTCTTAGGCAGCTTGAGATTACCGTACCTATTTTTTTGGAGTTTGAAAAAGTTTTGTACGATCGCATTTTTTACGGGAGCACCTGTTCGGCGCTTTAAGCACCACAGAGCGAACCACCGTTTATGCGCTCGCTTGATGGGTCAACCATTGATTGCCGATTGACTGCTAGTTGACTTCCAAAAAAAAAATCAGAAAATCTAAAAAAGTTCACGAATCAAAAAAACTTCACAGATTTGAAAAGTTCACTTAACTTTGAAAATAAGTTCAAGAATTAGCGAAAGCCGCGTATTTGAAAAAGTTCATTCAATTTTAAAAAATGTTCATGGATATGAAAACATTTCATCAATTTTACAAAAATCATGGATTTTGTGAAAAACTTCATGGAAAAAAGTTCATCGATTTGGAAAAAAATCGCAGATTTTAAAAATATCACTTAAAAAAGTTGTTAAAAACGTGTAACAAAATTTGTGTCCATGTGTAACAGGGTTTTGTTTGGGGCAGTGTTTTTTTGGGCAAATTCTTAGGCAGCTTGAGATTACCGTATCTATATATTTTGGCCCTGAAAAAGGTTTGTGGGATCACATTTTTACAGGATCTCCTGTTCAGTGCTTTAAGCGCCGCAAAGCGAACCGGCGCTTACCGCTCGCTTGACGGATCAACCATTGACTGTCGATCGGCTGCCAGAAATTCAAAAAAAAAACAAAAAAAATTAAAGGCATTCAAAAAAATTACAAATTTTAAGAAGGTCCACAAATTCAAAAAAGTTAATGAATATTGAAAATAAGTTAATGAATTCGAGAAAGTCGTGTATTTGAAAAAAGTTCGTTTGATTTTTAGAAATGTTCACAGATATGAAAAAAATCATCGATTTGTAAAAAAATCATGGATTTGTGAAAAAGTTTCACGGGTTTGAAAAATGCACATCCATTTTGGAAAAGTGTTTCATCGATGTTAAAACAAATTCGCGTTTTTTTAAAAGAAAAATCACTTGAATAGGTTGTGAAAAAACTAAAATAGTTCATGGATTTGAAAAAGTTCATGCATTTGAAAAGTTCAGGAATTCAAAACAAACTTCATAGAATTTTAAGAAAAAAATCAAATTGGAAAAGATTCACACATTTGAATTTTCCTGAGTAAAAATAAGGATAAATGAAAAAAATAAATAATAAGAAAGATAAGGAACAGAACAGAAAAAGGCAAAAATCAAACATAAAAACAAAGAGCAAAAAACCAGGAAAAATCCGATCAAAAAGCTTCTCTAAACCGGCCAGAAGGTAACTCGCTCATGTGAAATGGGTCGGCCCAACTAGTCAAAATGGATGCGCCCAATAGAGGATCTGGTGGTATCTTTTACTGTTTCTTGTGCAAATCAAAGTGGCCCGTGATTCTTAACTATTTTGTGTGGGTAACTAACACTTTAAAGAGCGGCCATGGGCCTAAGGCCTCGACGGCTCGACCACGTTACCCACCGACCACAATGGGTAGCACCCAAAAAAAAGGGATTTCCAAAAAAAAAAAACCACCACAATGGGTGGCTCACAGAGTTACAGTGCTGTATTTCTCAAATGTTGTCACTCTCTGTCCACGTGGCATAGCAGCTAGTGGAACGATGCATGGTGACAGGTGGCACACTAGGCAGTGGTGCACTGCATGCTTCGCCCTGGGGACCTCGAGCCTCCTGATTCATGTGAGCGTGTGCAGTGGACCCTATATATCAGGCCATGCTTCATCACAGAAGGATGTACCTAACCTTGCAACAAAGTTCAGTTGAAAACCACCACTAGTCTGTGCCCATGGCGACCTTCTCCAACGAGGAGCTTCTGCAGGCGCACACCGAGCTCTGGGACCTCACCTTCGGCTACCTCAAATCCATGGCGCTCGAGTGCGCCATCAAGCTCGGCCTCCCAAACGCCATCCACCGCCGCGGCGGCGACGCCACGCTGCCGGACTTGCTCGACGCAGTTTCCGTCCCGGAGAGCAAGAAGGCGCACCTGCCTCGCCTCATGAGGTTTCTCGGCGCGTTCGGCATCTTCACCGCCGACGCACCCGCTGCAGGGGAGCGCGCGAATGGGGAGGAGGCGGGCGCCGTCTACGGCCTCACGCCGGTGTCCCGCCTCCTCGTGGACGACTCCGGCGCCAACGGGTCGTGCGGGAGCCTCTCGCCGTTCGTGCTCTCCCAGACGACCAAGTACCACGTGAAGGCGGCCATGCACCTGCCGGAGTGGTTCACGAGCGACGACGGCGCGGCCGCGGCGGAGATGCCGTTCCGGACGGCGCACGGCGCAGACCTGTGGGGCGTCATGGACCGCGACCCCAAGATGAACCAGGTCTTCAACGCCGGCATGGGGTCCGACACCCAGCTCGCGATGGACTTCGTCATCGGCAACTACGGCGACGTGTTCGACGGGGTGACCTCGCTGGTCGACGTCGGCGGCGGGACAGGCTCCGCGGCGAGGGCCATAGCCAAGGCCTTCCCGCACGTCAAGTGCTCCGTGCTCGACCTCCCCAACGTGGTCAATTCCGTCCCGCCCGACGGCGTGGTCGAGTACATCTCAGGCGACATGATGAGCTCCATTCCGGCGACCGATGCGGTCTTCCTCAAGGTACGATATATAGTTGCCATGAATGCAGATCTTGTTTTGGGGTGAACGATTGCTCTATGCCAACGTAATTTAAACGTTCATATTGCAGTACATCATGCATGACTGGAACGACGAGGACTGCGTGAAGATCCTGAAGCAGTGCAAGAAGGCGATCCCCGAATCAGGCGGGAAAGTGATAATCGTGGACATAGTGGTGGGATCTCCTTTGAAAGCCATGCTGGAAGCCCAGGTCTCGTTTGATCTGCTGATGATGGTGATCACGGGAGGCAAGGAGCGCGACGAGCATGAGTGGCGCAAGATTTTCATGGACGCGGGGTTCAGCCATCACAAGACAAGACCTGTTTTGGGATTTATGGCCATCACCGAGCTGTATGCTTAGCCCTGCATGCCTGATTGCAGCAGATATCTGCTGTAACGTGTGTGTAAGCGTTGGTCCTGCGATGTTCGTCGTGGTTGTGCAGCCCCAAAGTGTCTTTCTGCAGCAACGATTTGTTCCTACGCCTTTAAAGGCTCCCATATTTGTATGATCTGTTGCTAGGGTATATGCACTTAATAAACTAGATGACACCCCGCCCGTTGCTGCGGGAATTGTAGCAATTAAAAAATTGGAAATTGGACAAATGAAAAGATAATTTGAATATACTTGTTAACTGTGTTGTCTCTCGGCTAAATTAAACCCATTTCATGACACCGAGCAATACACAATACAAATATTTTCCATTTTGCTTTAAGAAATATCAACATTACTACTCTTTCAATTGTCCAGTGACTAAATATAGTGAGCATGAAATCATCTGTTCATCCAAAACATCTCACAAAAGGAGCAAATAAAAATAGAACAAATCAAATAGGCATCGATGATTGCCTTGGGAGGTGATAATGCTTCTTAGTCACCTACATTATACTCACTTCTTATCTTCAGTCGATGACCATAGCACAGTGTTGGCAATTGAAAACTGGAAAGGAAACAACGTGTGAGAAGAGGTGCATGATGTCAAGAACATAGGCATACCAATTCTGGTTGTGACATTATTACAGCCAAGTAATTAAACCTGTACTACATTTAGTGAAGGAAATATTAGACAACAATTAGCAAGAAATTAACAATATTAGAGAAATTTGCAAGAAAGGTCAGTTTCAACAGGAAATAAAATAGTGAGGCAATCTAACAGTTCAGTGGACAGAGAGTTAGCCCTCCATCTCAACTTGAAACTTTAATGCAATATTGGCAGGAAATTGTCCCGATAGTAACTGAAAAGGGAATGAGAATTAATACAATACATGAAAATAGAATGACATTAAAATATAAAGAATATATGTATCCTGATGCTAACAGAACGTAGAAGATTAAAAGAGAACACATCACCTCTGCTTATGATAAGAGAAGGACCTCAAACGCTACACAGAAGGCATAGTAGAGCAAAGAACAAAGCATGTTAGTTAATGTTTGGGATTACCTGCCTGAGTTCGGCTGGCAACAAACTCGAACAGTGTCCAGGATTGCAAAGTATTGCGTCACCAGTCCACTGCAGTGCCTCCAATGGGTGGCTGCATCAAGGACGACGACAATCCGATCTACTTAAAATTGATGTCCACATTCTACTATTATGGGCTCGATTAGCCTTACAGACTTGAAATAAGGTGTTATGGAGATCTGCAGTTATGCCGCACACATACATGTTCAGAAGATTTTTAAGGTCTGGGATGTAGGAACTCGTGGTTGGAGCATGGCATGTTATAATACTGCCAGAATAAAACAACGTACCTGAAAATGAACTGGACTACTCTGATCCTCTGGTCCTACAAAACAATCATAATAGTTCAAACTGAATGCAGATAAAATTTGTACTAATCAAACATGAGAGAGAGATATGCAGGTCTGTAGTTGAGCAAATATCAGAACATCCAACCAAGCTGACTCGGGACTGAGAGGGAGGAGAGTCCCAACCTCTTATCCACGTGACATTCAAGGAGGACGGCGCCCGGCGGCAGCACATCTAGTTCAATGGGTGTCCGGTTCGACGCCTGGGCGCGGGATTTGGGCAGCAGAGCCGACGGTGGTGGCAAAATAGGGATTCAGGTTGGCAGCAACACAGAAATCCGGCAGCCACGAACTTCTTACCCAACCATGGCATGCGTTTCGATCTCATGGCGTGAGTGGAACCGATGAGCCCGGAAGAGAGGTTAATAACAGAGGAGATCAACCGTGTGGTGGAGAAAATAACTTGGAGGATACCAAAGGGTGTCGTGGAGACCATTATTTCTTAGGGAAAAAAGCTGAAATATCATATATGTAATCTAGGAAAAAAAGATTAATTTGCTTATGTGGTGGTTTGCTGAGTTGGATAGGCTGTTGCTCCCTGAAGTTTCACCTTCCGCCACAAGACATGAAGAGACAGCTAAACATTTGGGCTTCTTTTTGTTTTAGACGATCGGGCTTCGGTGCACAGTATATAAGACTGTAATCCGGTTTTTTTTTGCATGGAGGATATGGCGGGCCAAAGAATGAATGTCTCATGGCTGTATGCGGACGCATTGCTATGATGAAGAATTGATGACATGGCCAAGTGCTGATGTGGACAGCTTGCATGTCTAGATAAATAAGGTAGTGGGGGTAAACTTCTTAGGTATATAGGATGAGCTATTCTTTGGATCTATATTACTCCTATATTAGAGGTTGGTTTTGCTCAATGTTGATGGTCTCGTGTACACACTACACGATGCGGACATGTATGGAAATATACTTTGGCCACTAAACCCACCAGTTCGTGGCTGTCAAGCTGAAGATAGTTTTCATGCTCTGGTATCCTGCACTAAACCAGGAGCTTTACAGCATGTGGTTCGCAGGTTTGGGAAAGCTTCCATAGGAAGACCGCAAAGATAATTCAGGCGTATATACGTAAACAAACACTAACGAGAATTTATCTGACTCGTGCATTGAAAATTCAGTTCACAGCATCACTATCTGTCCTATATGCTGAAATTCAGATCAACCAATAGGGGGTATACATCGAGGATAATTTGCAACGAGCATCAGGTCCTATCCGGAGTCTGACTACCATGCACATGAAATGTTTACAAGGTCAGTATCAGCCCTAGTTCTGTTGCAGCACAACAAACATAGAGATAGCATAGCCTGTCACAGAACACACATGGACACAGCACCGCCATACCGCATAGTGGTTGTCTATATTTGGCAACAAAAAGCAGTGTTACCACATAGTTCAAATATAAAACTAGGTTTTACTCAGAAAGGTGGTTCTCAATATATCTAGCTACCCATGTCATTTTGTTGGACATGCTAAGTTGATTGAATGCTCTAGCAATTGCAGGATTCTCAACTAGATGAGCATAGTAATGGGTAAGATGCGCCTCTTCAAATCCAGGGAGATCCATCAAGTTACCCCAAAGATCTTCAGGGACATCTGTATCTACACATTCAGATTTCTCTATAGCTTCGGCAAGGTTATCAAGGCTGGTCATCAAATGCATCAGCTCGTCATCATTGTTTACCTTGGCCCTTTTCGATGCTTTACTGCTAGAGGAATCACCATTCTTCCCCCATTCGGGAATAGGAAAAGGCAGTGTAAACTCTTCAACACTAGCACCAAAAGTGTCATTTCCTCCATTGGCAATTTCATTCTCGGTCACATCTACAGCAAGAAGCTCATCCACACTCTTAGTGTATACATCAGAAGCCATACCATCACCAAAGATTGTGGCCATCTCGTGATAGTAAGCTGGAGTGTTCAAGAAGTCGGCATCATTGCGGTGATAGTTTTGATGGTCTTCCCACATTTTGTCAGCAAGGGCTTGTCTGAACTCAACCATGTGCCTATGGTCATGGGCTTGCTCTCTCTGAGGACTAGGGAGTTTTGGTTTCCAATTAATCTCCGGTATAATGAAACAATCAGTGCCTTGGGAAAGAACCCAGTTGTGGAGGATGACGCAAGCTATCACAACATCCACTTGAGTAGCGGAGGGAAAGAATGGATTTGCATCATCAAGAACTTTAAATCTTCGCTTGAGTGATGCGAATGCACGTTCTACAGGTACTCGTAGAGATGAGTGCCTAAGATTGAACAATTCCCTTGCATCTCGCACATGATTGTTCCCCCACTCAGTCAAGTGATATCTCATGCCGTGGAAAGGTGGCAAAAATCCAGGTTTGGCTCCATATCCGGCATCCACTAGGTAGAATTTACCTGTCATGTCAGGAATACACATGAGCACCTAAGGTAGTATTGTGTAATAAGTAGTATTAACTCTATGTGGAGATATCATGATAGAACAAATTTATTACCTTGAGGAGCACATAAGCCGTTCTCACACTCTATTGCATCCACTAAAACAGCATTATCGTGTGCAGATCCCTCCCAACGAGCCAGCACATGTGTGAAACGAAGGTCAAAATCAATTGCTGCCATCACATTTTGGCTTGCAACTAACTTCTTACCACGGAAGGCAGTCTCCACGTTCTTACAGGAAGAAGCCTGTATCTGTGTACAATCAATGGCTCCAATACAATCCTACATGATCAGAACCGCCCAAAAAATTTAGTAAGCAGACAGTTTCTACGCTAAAAATATATTGCTGTGCATGGTCATACCTTGAAGTATGGGTCCCATCTTGGGTCACCAGCAATTCTGGTTGGGGTCTCCAATGATGGTGGCCTAATAAACTCATCCCTTAGCTGAACTATAGCATGGAGGACTAGTCCAAAATAACGACTAACCGGTTCACCTGACCTATTAAAAATAGCACTTACAACCCTATTCCGAAGGTTGTGTCCTACTGTGATCAAGAACATGGCGACTTGCTCCTCAATACATATATGAACAGTATCACGGAGCAAAGAGCGTTCCCTCAGAACTTGACACAGCCCGAAGAAAGAAGCCCTCGTGAGCCTTAGCGTTGTCTGGCAAGTTATATCATCCTTGTAAATCTGGTTATTTAGAAAGGCAATCCTTTTCTTGTCCCTTGTCTCGATTGGGCCATAGGAAATACTCTCTTTCTTTCTCTGTAATCTCGGCCGGACATACAGCATGACCATACATGAAGCCACGGATCCAGCGGCCTTTATAAGCATCAACCTTCTTCTCCTGAACCTCTCCTTGTCCATCTACAATGCATTTTTGACAAATGTAAAAAACATGCTATGAATTGTAAAGAACAGTAAAAATACAGAAGAATGTACTAAATGCTAACAGTAACTTAAGCTTTGCCACCTACAGTCCATACAGGAGAGGTTGGTTTCAGGTTCGAAAGAACAGGAGGTGTATGCTTACAACTAAAATAGACTAGCAGCACTTGACAGTTCATGGTTCAATGCAGAAATGTTGTGAACAATATGAAGGTATACATACATATTATCATCATACTCACAAATCCAAGTCATTATCCATCGATGTAGGAAAAGAAGAATTTGGACTACATACCTCGGGCTGGAGCAACTGGTGCAAACTCTAGGCGAGGGAGAGTGGATTCGGGGGAGAAGCAAGGGGCAGACGCCAGCCCCTGGTCGCTAGTCGCCTGCGGCCTGCGGGTGCGGGAGGGGGTTAGGGGCGGCGGCCTCCCTTGTCGTGTGGGAGAAGGATGGGCGCACGCTAATGCGCGAGGGGGAGGGCTAGAGGGGGAGCGACCGGTGGGAGCTGAGCACCTCGCCGCTGGCCGCCGTCCGCTGGGCTCCGGTCGCTGGGGGGCGGAGGTGGTTCGGGCCTTCAGGGAGGGCTCAGGGCCGGCGCGTGCGGGGGACTGGGGGCCGGTCGTAGTTCCGGTTCGATCGTCTTCGCCCGAGTCGCATAGTGATAGTGGTCCCGCATCTCCCTGGAGTTTTTTTTTAGTAAAATGCATCATAAGTCCTACAACTATGTGAGGTGTGTCAATCTAGTCCTAAAACTTTAAAAGTGCAGAATTAGGTCCCGAATATTTTCAAGGCGTACAACCCAGATCCCAAACTTGCTGCGGCTGCATTGACTGGCAGACGGGCGTCTGGACCGTTGCCACCTGGACCCAGGGCGTGTGGCGGAAGATTTCCCGCCGTTGGCGGTTGAGATCTTTTGCAATTGACCGCATTTATGTAGTTGCCTTCTCTAGCCACAGTCATTTCTCCACTCAGATCCCTATCTCTCATCAGTTCATCTTATCTGCTACTGCCACCTCCGTGCCATGTCTGGAAACTCGTTCGCGAGCTCGTCGGCGGCGAGACGCAGTAGGAACCAGTTGGCGCAAGCTCCGCCTCTAGTCCTTCCACCTCCGCCACGAACAGGCTATCCAGTGCCGCTCCCATTGGTGCACTGCCCGCACTGCAAGTGGAGGACCACCATTTGCCTCGTCTCCAAATTAGAGGCGAACCCAGGTCGCATTTTCTACAAGTGTCCAAATCATCGGGTAAGAAAAATCTCTCACTTGTTCTATCTAATTTGGTTTCCATCTATTTTCCTAATTTTTTCTTCTATGAGCAAAAAGGGCCTCAGGGATGCGAGTTTTACCATTGGCAGGATGGTCCAAATAATTATGTTGAGTATTTGGTATCTATTGGAATTTTTGTTCATGCTTCGGGTGCAGTCATAAGAGGAGTACAAGCAGGGGAGGTGCAACCTATAGAGTCAGTACAGATGCAGCAGAGGCAGCAAGTCAATGGTGTCACTGAACTTGTGAAAAGGATGGATGAGCTGTTGTTGCTGTGTAAAATCATAGTGTTTGTGTTCGTGCCGATGTTAGTAGTGATGGTTGTATGTGCAATGAAATGATATCACACACTTGGTCAGTAGTGTTTCACGGTCAAGTATGTAATGAAATGATGTAGCAAAGATGGTGTAGCACATTGCCATGTTTGTATTTCAATTTCAGTTCAATTACTAGGCAATGATCTAGCACACTGGACAAATGACAAAATAAATAGATGATGTTGCAACTTAACACACACACACACACAACACACACACATATATATATAGGGTCGCGCTATTCGTCACCCTGGGTGAGGAATAATTATTCTTCATCCCCCTCTATTTTACCATCAATGCACCGTAATTTTACATTCTGTAAGTTTTGTCTTATTTCCGATGCAAAAAGGGTTCGTAAGAAAATATATAATCGCCATAAAAAATATTTTATGTTATGTAAATTACAAATGTAAAAACATAGTTTAAAATACACATAAACTGTAATTTTTTTTGTCTTATGACTTATATTTTTATTTTCTTATGTCAAATTTTACATAGTGAATCAATAGAAATGTAACTATTTAAATTTCAAACGTAATTTAATTATGAGATGATCGTAAGATTACCTCGGGTGAGAAATGT